CCTATGAATATTTCCATTCCAAAACCAGATCGATTCTCGCTTATATTTCTATTTATATACTCTAGACACTTCTCAGAAGCTCACAAATTTCCGTTCCAAAACTTTGAGCCTCTAACTGCTTATACAAATATCATTAAACTAATTTCAGCTAATTATTTATTATTAAGCTAATTTCTGTGGCTGCCACTAAACTGAGTTTGTTTGTTTCTTCTGGCAGTTTAGCAGTTGCGCCTCTTGTCTATCGCCTATCATATCTTTATATCATATAAATCATATCGCTCAACCCGTTACCGATAGCCTGCATGACACACAAATGACTCTTGATGACGACGTTCCAAATGTCCATATATGTACATATATATATGAAATTTTATTGAACCCCAAAGCAAAAGCAAAAAAGAAACACACACGCACTTGGCACCTAGCCACGCCCAGCATTTGGGGCGGCTTATCGTGGGCGCTTTTAAGGTCTGGTGCGCCGGCGTGCGCGTTTTCAACTAATTAGCAACAATTTTCGAGCGTTAGCGGCTTGTAAAAGCGGTTTACCAATACAGCCAAAGCCAAAGCCAAAGCCAAAGCCCGACTAAAGCCAACAGCCCAGCCTAGATTGAGAAAAGCGCCGCAGCCAACGTCCCCATTCAGGGGGGAGGGGGGGCATTTTCTAATTGGAGCCGCGGCTTTCTGATAAGCGCATTTAATTGCTCTCGAGTGCAGCGGCGACTTGTCAGCTCGCATTTGTTTAACAGCAACTATTTTACAACTGTAATTTTGTTTACAGTAATTATGTAAACAACAACAACAACAGTAACAACAATAGCAAACAGTTAATCACCGCTGCCTTGATAAGCAAGTTCAGGGCCAAGGTTGCGGGTTCACGCTTCGAGTTGAAGTCAGAGAATTAGAGACCGCAACAACCGAGACGAACCGAACCTAACCGAACCCGCATTCAATCATAATCCAACACCATCTCAATGGAGTCCCACTTATCAGCCAGCTGTAAATATTCGCGCAGTTCGCCTTTGAATCATTTGCAATCCAAATTTAGCAGCAATAAATATTCTTCTAAGCAAGAAATAACAGAACAAAAACATTGAGCACAAATTGTGGATGTAGCAGAAGATTAGATGCACTTGCTCATGAATGGGCTGAGCTGATAAGGGCTCTAGAAGAAGCAGATGCCAGAGACTTACTTATGTATATATAGATAGGCTAGTATGTGTAATCGACTGATCGATGACTAATTTCTTATATGCAACATTATTGTTTAGCTTCCATGTGTCTAGGTGATCAGATATTACGTTTCCTAGAGCAGACTTTAATAGCAGTTTAGCAGCTGTAAAAGCAAAAATAGATTCGTATGAATTTCGGAGCAATGTTTTATGTGGTCACAGTCTGAATGGAGCAAAGCCCATTATATTGAGTGCTGTCAATAAGAGTGCTACACTGCTTGTCAGTCTCTAATGATATACTATCTCTACTCAAAAAATAGCATTAGCTATATCTTAGTTTCTCCATTTGATAAGTTTTCCTACATACTAAATATTTACGAGTACTATCTTTACTTTTGATAGGAGC